GAGGTTGGAGTGCAATCGATGGAGTGAAATCAGATTTGGGGATGTCTTCAGGACTCAGAGGGGTCACAATGTGGCGGGCTCGCCAATGTACTATGTATAATTCCCTCCATCAAATGTATCAACTTGCAGGGCCCTGCCCACTAAAGAAGGGGGTCCGGAGGGGTTCTCCAGGATTTGGGGGTTCCCGGCCCCCGTCCAGGAGGTGCGATATCAGTCATTTCTTATATATAGGGGTGCTCATAGGTACAGGGTGCCAGTTTCTAGCTATGGGTTTGGAGTGCCAGTTGCTAGCTAAGGGGTGCCAGTCCCTAACTATGGGTATGGGGTGCCAATTCCTAGTTATGGGTACCGTGTTCCAGTCACTAGCTATGGGTACCAGGTGCCAGTTGCTAGCTATGAGTACTGGGTGCCAGTCGCTAGGTATGGGTATGGTGTGCCAGTTCCTAGCTATGGGTATGGGGTGCCAGTCGCTAGCTATGGGTACTGGGTGCCAGTCGCTAGCTATGGGTATGGGGTGCCAGTTCCTAGCTATGGGTACCAGGTGCCAGTCGCTAGCTATGGGTATGGGGTGCCAGTTCCTAGCTATGGGTACCAGGTGCCAGTCACTAGCTATGAATACCAGGTGCCAATTGCTAGCTATGAGTACAGGGTGCCAGTCGCTAGCTATGGGTACCAGGTGCCAGTTCCTAGCTATGGGTACCAGGTGCCAATTGCTAGCTATGAGTACAGGGTGCCAGTCGCTAGCTATGGGTACCAGGTGCCAGTCACTAGCTATGAGTACTGGGTGCCAATCGCTAGCTATGAGTACTGGGTGCCAATCGCTAGCTATGAGTACTGGGTGCCAATCGCTAGCTATGAGTACGGGGTGCCAATCGCTAGCTATGAGTACTGGGTGCCAGTCTCTAGCTATGAGTACTGGGTGCCAATCGCTAGCTATGAGTACTGGGTGCCAATCACTAGCTATGGGTACCGTGTGCCAGTTCCTAGCTATGACTACTGGGTGCCAGTCGCTAGCTATGGGTACAGGGTGCCAGTCACTAGCGGTGGGTGCTGGTTTCCAGCTGCTAGCTATGGGTACCGTGTGCCAGTTCCTAGCTATGGGTACAGGGTGCCAGTCACTAGCGGTGGGTGCTGGTTTCCAGCTGCTAGCTATGGGTACCGTGTGCCAGTTCCTAGCTATGACTACTGGGTGACAGTCGCTAGCTATGGGTACAGGGTGCCAGTCACTAGCGGTGGGTGCTGGTTTCCAGCTGCTAGCTATGGGTACCAGGTGCCAATCGCTAGCTATGGGTACCGTGTGCCAGTTCCTAGCTATGGGTAATGGGTGCCAGCTGCTAGATATGGGTACAGGGTGCCAGCTGCTAGCTATAGGTACGGGGTGGCAATCCACATCTCTATCACATTGGAGAGCCCCCGGGGGCCCCACCTACAGGGGCGCATGCCATGCTGATGCATATTCCAGATCTGTGGTGGGATTTGGGCGGCATTAGCCCCGGTGAGGGTGACATTTCCAGAAGGTTCTTTCCTGTAATAAAGGAAGTCCCGCGTGCCTCCGATGCCGGGTCACATGGTCTCCGCCGCTGCAGGGCATTGGGTTGGATTGAGACGTCTCTGACGTTGGCGTTGATGGTTTTCTATTTTCTCTCCTTTATGTCTCAGAAAGTTTTATGAGCTGAAGGAGATTTCATGTTTTTTATGCTTTTTAACACCTTTTCAGGAGAACAGAGGAAATCATTGTGACATGTTAAGACAAAACCGTCTGAGTCAGAATCCCTCCTCTCCGATCCCTGCATGTCACGCTGGGACGGTGCCAGGTGCAGATCATTGTTACAGAGCGGTGCAGCCAGTGACAGCGGAGGACTCGGGGGGCATGGTATGAGGGCAGGGTACATAGGGTGGTCTGCAGAAGGTGGTGGTGTACATAGGATGGTCCATGGCATGGTGGTGGAGTACATGAGATTGTCTATGGCATGGTAGGGTGTACATAGGATGGTCCATGGTGTGGTGGTGGAGTACATAGGATAGGATGGTCCATGGCATGGTGGTGGTGTACATAGGATGGTCCATGGCATGGTGGTGGAGTACATGAGATTGTCTATGGCATGGTAGGGTAGGGTGGAGTACATGGGATGGTCCATGGCATGCTTGTGGAGTACATAGGATGGTCCATGGCGTGATGGTGGAGTACATAGGATGGTCCATGGCATGGTGGTGGAGTACATAGGATGGTCCACGGTGTGGTGGTGGAGTACATAGGATGGTCCATGGTGGTGGAGTACATAGGATGGTCCATGGCATGGTGGTGGAGTACATAGGATGGTCCATGGCGTGATGGTGGAGTACATAGGATGGTCCATGACATGGTGGTGGAGTACATAGGATGGTCCATGGCGTGGTGGTGGAGTACATAGGATGGTCCATGGCATGGTGGTGGTGTACATAGGATGGTCCATGGCATGGTGGTGGAGTACATTGGATGGTCCATGGCATGGTAGGGTGTACATAGGATGGTCCATGGTGTGGTGGTGGAGTACCTATGGTTGTTCATGGCATGGTGGTGCAGTATATGGGATGGTCCATGGCGGTGGAGTACATAGGATGGTCCATGGCATGCTGGTGGAGTACATAGGATGGTCCATGGCATGGTGGTGGAGTACATGGGATGGTCCATGGTGTGATGGTGGAGTACATGGGATGGTCCATGGTGGTGGAGTACCTGGGATGGTCCATGGCATGGTGGTGGAGTACATGGGATGGTCCATGGCGTGATGGTGGAGTACATGGGATGGTCCATGGTGGTGGAGTACCTGGGATGGTCCATGGCATGGTGGTGAAGTACCTGGGATGGTCCATGGTGGTGGAGTACATGGGATGGTCCATGGTGGTGGAGTACCTGGGATGGTCCATGGCATGGTGGTGAAGTACCTGGGATGGTCCATGGTGGTGGAGTACATGGGATGGTCCATGGTGGTGGAGTACATGGGATGGTCCATGGTGGTGGAGTACATGGGATGGTCCATGATGGTGGAGTACATGGGATGGTCCATGATGGTGGAGTACATGGGATGGTCCATGGTTGTGGAGTACATGGGATGGTCCATGGCATGGTGGGAGAGTATATGGGATGGTCCATGGCGTGATGGTGGAGTACATGGGATGGTCCATGGCATGGTGGGAGAGTATATGGGATGGTCCATGGTTGTGGAGTACATGGGATGGTCCATGGCATGGTGGGAGAGTACATGGGATGGTCCATGGCGTGATGGTGGAGTACCTGGGATGGTCCATGGTGGTGGAGTACATGGGATGTGGATTGTGCTGCCATGGACCTGTCATCAGATATGTGTTTCCTGTGAAGTGCATTTATCACCCCGCACAGACATCTCAGCACTCACCCTGGCAATGCCTTCATCTGCTTTACTGTTCAGTAGGACGGCACCATCTTTGTCCAGGCCTCTTCCGGGGTCACCGTCTACTTCCTGGACCGAGATGCCGGCTCAGAGATGACACAATCATACAAATCCCGGTGCCTGTGCAGTTCTTGGCTGTGTGTCAGACAAATGTCTGACACACATTGTTGGGGACAGGAGACTGAGGAAATGCTTCCTCCTGCCAGCTGCAGACTGATCACTGGGGGGAGGGGAGACTGAGGAAATGCCTCCTCCTGCCTGCAGCAGACTGTTGTCATGTGACCTGTATGTATTGTAGGTGTCATGCTGCCACCTAGTGACGGATTTATAACACTGCACAGGCAGCTGCTGACGGCTCGGACCGCACAGTCCCCGCAGTACCTGCCAATGGAGACTATGGAAAATGTGGTCAGCACTCTGGCAATGCAGCACTGAGGTCCTGGGGTTAATTTCCTCCTATAACCAATATAATGTGCGCTTCCTCAGGGACCAATGAAAATACAGCCAGAGAAATGCGTACCAGGAGCAAAGACCTCAGTGATCGGAGTTCTGCTTTAATCTGAGCCGCCTACAAACCGGCCGCAGTGAGCACAGAGCACCTCACAGGGGCGCTGGTCTGCCCCTCCCCCAACCCCCCACCGCCTTTCCCTGAGACACACATGTTGGTGATGCAGGAACACCCTCCCTGCTGGCAGTACGCTCCTCCTGCTCTCCTGCTGACCCTGTGAGGTGGTCGGTGTTCACTATCAGGGTGGATTATCTTTGCTGCAGAGGGCGGGGGGGGGTCCTGACTCCACTTCTACATCCTGTGCAGTACAGCTCCGGCATGCCTTGCACCTTCTGCTTGCACTACAATGAGCCTCATTTCCCAGTTTGGTCTGGTCTCCTACGGCCTCCTTCGGCCACTTCCTGTCTCCAGCGTCCGCTGCGCATCACTGCACTGTACCGGCTTCCTTATGAGTCATCATGTGCATGGGCACGGCCGTACGTAGTCTCCACCAGGATGTGACCCGGGTAGCAACAGGAGACATGTACTGTCAGCCCATAACAGGATGTGCCAGAGCAAGGATCTTCATGGCACGCTGGATATATGTTGATAGGAGGAGAGAGCAGAGTAAAGGGAGAGATGAGCTGATCGCTGTGCTGCTTCTGACGAATCACAGGCTGGGGGGTGGATCCAGGACGACCAGGGCTCAGAGGAAGTGGGGGATGTGACACAGGCCATCAGACAGAGGACATCTAGTGGCAGGAAATAAGTACTGCAGGGGAATTCTCTGCCTTAGTCCGCAAATCACATCTACTTCTCCTTGAAGGTCTTCCAGATATCACGGCACAGAACTCATGTTGTCTCCTTCTACTTGCAGTGACCATCCGGACGTCTCCTCACCTTGTGATGGACATCAGAGGAGAAGATTGCATTCCCCTGAAATAAAGAAGAAGCCGGATGTGCGTTGTGATTGGCCCGTGTGAATCACATGATCCAGTCACCTCAAAGATCACTGGCCTGTGGTTGGACGCGGCGTCTCCGTGATTCCGGGGGAACATCGGATCCTGGATGGTGCTGGGTGACCCTCAAGGAGGGCTCAGGATATGGAGCCCCCCCTGAACTGTAGCGCCCTATCACAGAGTCAGATAGAGACCACGATGGACAGAACGGAGGCGCTGGGGGTCCTGCAGGAGCTGTGCCGCGTGTCCAGGGTGAGTGACGCCATCTACAGGACGCTCATTATAAATCTGCCCCTCCCACAATGGTGAGATTTCCCCCCAGTAGTTTGTGTCTCTGCCCCTCCCACAATGGTGAGATTTCCCCCCAGTAGTTTGTGTCTCTGCCCCTCCCACAATGGTGAGATTTCCTCCAGTAGTTTGTGTCTCTGCCCCTCCCACAATGGTGAGATTTCCCCCCAGTAGTTTGTGTCTCTGCCCCTCCCACAATGGTGTTATGTTCTGGAATGTATAATGGAGGATATAGCTGTGTGTGATGCTCGGTGTCTCCCCCTACAGGCCTCGGACAGAACACAGCTCTCGGCTGCAGTGCAGGGAATTCTGGGATCGCTGCTCACCTGCGGACTCCTCTTGTCTCTCTTCTTCGCCATTTTCACCGTGCGCTTCCGTCAGAACAGGTACTGGCTGCGGGATCGGCTGAACCCTGTAGAATAAACCACAACAGCACCACCACCTGGGGGCCCCGGGGCCACTTGCAAATGGCTTAGTTTTTAACAGATCCGTGTCACATTTTTCTTGTATTTCTATAAATATTTCAGTTTGAAGACA